TTAATAACACTCCAACGATCAAATCATTCTTCTTCAAGGGTCAAACAAAACTATGTGAGACCTCTACTTTTAAAGAGAAGATATGCTTAGAAAAGCATAGAATTCTCCTAGAAATGGGAAGACTCAGAGACTCCAATTCTCCATTTTAATGCAGTGGTAATTCTATTTAAAGAATATTGTATTTGAAGAAGAAGAAAAATCAGAATTATTCAAAACTGTCCATTCGAAGTGTGAAAATTTGTTATCTGAGGATATTTTTATAATCTCCTATTATGTTAAACTTCAAGAATCATGTATTAATATAACCTACTTAAAATTAGTGCCTATCACAAGATGAGAAAAACTATGAATTCCTGAGTTTTAATTCTATTCTGACGTGTAGACTGACCTTGAAAAGACAGAGTAATTTCACCTTTACAAGATGGAGCTGGGACAGAAACCTGCCTTAAGCCTTTTGAGAAAGACAAATAATTACTCAATAGATATTTAAAGATAAAAAGGTTTTTAAAAAGCAACAAGGTCACATTTAATTAAATTCTTCCAAATGAAGGAAAAATATCATCACAAATGAAGGGAACAGTAGGAAGAACACAAGTGGAAACTAATTTAACTATTTCAATATTTGGATTCCTCCTCCTAACTGTCCTCTAGATACAAGTTTTTAAAGTTGGATCCATTCTCTTCCCAGACACTTGACCGTTTCTTAAGGTAGGTCTGAGTTCGCCATTTAAAAACAAGTCTTGCAACATTTTTTAGAAACAAACAAAACGTTCTGTAAATAGATGAACTCTTATGCTGAGTAAACATGCCAAAAGGATTTCAAATGAAAACCATGGGGACTGTAGGGGCAGTACAGTGTCCAAGGAGAAATTAAAAAAAGATGACAGTCAAGTCATAAATCATGTGCTTCTGTGACATGAGAATCACCCCAAGCCAACAAACTTAAGGTTTGTGGGCACAGTGCAAGTTGCCACCTAATGCAAAGGTAGAACTGGTAGAGACTGCAAACGAATGATTTCAGTTGAAGAAATCATTGTGAGCACAAGGCACATATGTACTGTCAACACACTTTCTTTCCCTCAAATAAAATGTACCAAGTTTATGCCTGCAAAGCAAATTCCTCTTGTTCTATATAACCTCCTTTAGTCAAGGCCTTACTGAATTATTCCAAAAGGTACAACCTGAAGAAGTATCATTACGGAATAAATGAATTTCAGAGTTAAAAAGGGCCTCCAAAGTCACCTCGTTTAGTAGTAGTTATACTTTGGGGTCACAGACTTCTCTGGGAAGCAGATGAAAGCTATACACCCTCTTCCCAGAAATGCACGCAAGGCACACACAGGCACAATTTGGAGTTCCACTTGCAAGGGTTTGAAGTTTATAAATCCTAGATTAAGAACTACTGATCATGTCTTTGTTCCTCATTTTAAAAACCAGAAATTGAATCCCAGAAAAGTTCAGGGATTTATTGGTCCAAGTTCACACAGGTAACAGGAGAACTGGCATTCAAACAACCCAGTACTCCTGCCTGACTTCAGGACGCTCTGCCCACTGTTCTTTAGAAAGAGGATGTGATTATCTGTATCCATAAAACTCAAAGTTTAGTCATGCTGCTGTTTGAATGCGTGAAATTAATGAGTTTTAGGCTAAGGATGGAAACAGAGGTTCTTTTCAAACATGAAAAAAACCCAACATTCTAAGTATTATGGCCTAAGCAGCTCTGGCACCTCTATGCAAGTAAATAACCCCTGGAACGCCAGTGGTGGCACCCTGACAGCTGTACTTTTAATAAGTACCCTAAAAGACTGTGATTGGATGGTTCTCAAATGATATCCCACAAGGCTGGTTTAAAGCAGTGGCTTTCACATATTTTTTCATAAGCCGGATTCTTTTTTCAAGCCCAGTCTTATCTGGAAACCCAGATACATAAACAAAAGCAGAGTGGCTGGGTGGGGTCTCGGAGCCAGTTTGAAAACCACTGTTCTAGAAGACACAGCAGTGGCAATGTGACCAGGAGCTGGGCTTCACTCTCCTGGGTCTCAGTTTCCTTATTTATAAAATAGTTTGTCTCGATTGTCTCTAAATTCCCCTCCAGCTCCAGTATCCTATATTACACAAACACCACCACTACCATTCCCAATAGCTAATATTCAGCAGGACTTGTGCGTGCCTAGCATTGTTCTATTAACTTACTGAATCCTTACAATCACTCTATGAGGTTAACTACCATTAATCTATTATACTGATGAGGAAACTGAGGCACAAAGAGGTTATGTGACAATAACTGTGGTAAAAAATGTATATATACATTCTCTTATTTAATCTATACCACAAAATTGGGAGGTAAGAACTGAGATTAAGAAAGGCACTTATTGATCCAACGTCAAAGAGCTGGGATTTAAACTCAGGTCAGCCAGATTCCCAAATCCAGTCTCTTAACCAATATACTAGGACAGGTTGGGTCCTATATTATACCATGAAGTCTTTTAAAAATGGCATCCATTTATGTGTTGTTATTACGGTGTTAGTGATACGCATTCATATATTCATAGAGATGGCTTATCTCCCAAATTAGATTATAAACACTTTGAGATCAGGGATTGTTTTTATATTTTTCTATTTCTTACTCTATGAAATACAGGCTGTGCATTATGTAGGTTTTTATTCAATTGGAAGTGATTTTCTGATTTTCTGAGTCCTATTTTTCATTAACTTCATTTTTTTCAATAATTCAAAGTAAACACACTAATTTCACTAGATCAACTCTTGAAATCAAAAATTTTCCGCGAGTCAGTTGCTGGAAGGGAGAAAAAACCCTTTTTTCAGTTTAATGATTTCACATTTGCCCTTGAGGCAAGAAATTATATTTTTGTTTCAATATTAATAAGTATCCCTTTCTAAGAATTCTTTCTCATTAATGCCTCTTGCCATTTTTCATTGTATCAACCAATATGTAACAGACTGAAAATAAGCAGATGGTTAAAGACAAGAATGGAAAATCTTGGAAGGTCCTTATAGTACCTACGTATGCCACTTGAAAATACCGGTTTGACATTTCACTGGAAGTGGTGCTCGTTAAGTAGTATTCCTCAAACACTCAGCAAATAATAATGCCTACAAGTAATTTTTCTTAAATACCTTGTTAATCTTGGATATGCTCAGCCTGTGGTCAGATATACCACCATCTTGCAACTATGCTTTATCGCCCGCATCCTTAAAATTTGCTCGCTAGGACCAGAGGAGATCTTCCATGCTCTTTCTCAGCTCCACAGTTACACCAGCAGCCCCATGAGAGCTGTCATTTCCCAGCTGTGACTTACTTTAAGCCTGTTTTGGAGACTCATATTAATCTGACATCCATATAAATCTGTACAACATAGATGAAACTAGTCATAAGAAGAATTGAGATTAAATTTGGTCTCTCAACTTTGACAGAACAGATCATTCAGAGCTGTAGTTCTTAAACCTGCTTTCAGAAATGTCTTAAAAACGTAGACGCCTAGAGCTCTTCCTCAGACCTATGGAATCAGTGGGGCCCAGACACCTGTAATTTTAATAAGCACCACAGGTGTCATGATGCTCACCATAGTTGTGCACATCATTACTTCCTTCATTGGACAAACATTTAACGAGCGTCTTCTATCAATATTAAATTTAGAATATAAACATATATTTTCTTTTTAGTATAGTTTCTTGGGTCACAAACGAGCAAGCAACTTGAGGAAAAGGACCACGATCTACGTTTTTTAAAAAAAAAAAAAAACAACTCCCCCCTCACCCCCATCCCTATACGCAATACCTAGCTGGGCATATAGCAGGCAAATGTTGCATTGCTTTGGACACCAGCCCCTCAAATAAAACATGTTGATACATCTTCATTCAAACCTGGACCCTCTGGGTGTCCTTCTAAGGAATCTGCGTAAGGGTGTGTGTGTGTGTGCGTGCGTGCGTGCGTGTGTGTGTGTGTGGCGGGGGGTTGTTCCTAATTCTGCTCTGAGGCAAAGCTAGCAACATCCTGACCATAGCGTTCAACTTCTGTTTTGAAGTCTGCCTATGAAGCCAAAATAAAACATATAAACCAGGAAATGTATATCAGGAGTAAGGAAGATAAATCTCTCAACAAATATACTTTGTTTTCTTTTCTCCTTATGACAACCCTCAATTCTTTCCTATTCTCACATCACCTCTGTTCTCTAGGCAATATTCAAATAACTGAGTGCCCCTCAGCTATTTTGAACCAGGAACTTAAGAAAAAGGCTTCCCAAACTTTGTTCATCCTGAAATCACACCCTGTAGCTCAAATGAGCATGTACAATCTCCCCAAGATCACGAGAGCTGGGAAGAGTGCATTCCAGATGTTGTCTTATGCCCTCTCTCTCCGTGGCCTGCATCTTAAGAGAAGCACAGCATGAAGCTGGCAGCGACCAAGGGGCCCCCGTGTAAAATGGCTTTTGCTGAGGGAAGAGTTCCAATGTGCGACTGTGGCAGGTGAGTCTGGTCAACATTTGGGAAACAAATGACCCCTCCAACTATGTCCACTGAGGGAGCAAACACCCACCCACACGTGACAGAGTCTTCATGCTGTTGGAAGGGAGAGAATGGCCATCGCAGATCTCCTTTTGTTAGGCTTGTTCAAGAAGAGTAGGAAGGCATGTGGAGGGGAAATAAGACATGCTGAGGCACCCACTAAAGAGATAATAGGGAACAAGCTAGTGCGGGCACATGAGCACACAGAGAACTCTCCAGCGTCCTTCACCGCCCGTGAATGAGATGAAAAGACCGGCAAAGACACAAAGTCACTGCAGTGGTGTGCAGTGGGCCAGTTTGACCAACAGGTTCTCCATGACCTTAAATATCTCCGACCTGCTCTCTATCAACTTTTCAGAATAACTCAACGATTTCTTTCTTTGTCTTAGAAAAATATAATTTAGGGCAAGAAAAAACAAAATCTCTTTCAAAGAGTACAAGAAAAGGAGTCAGGGAAAGCATTCCTTACTCACCAATTTTGTCACGTCTTTCACATCATCAGTCACACGGTTTTCGCAGATCCCTTTGGTTTTGACGAGAGGATTAAATAGGAGCAGTTGAAGATAAATGCAAGTGATAATCCAAGTCTAAACAAAAATAGAAAAGTTTCTGGTGTTAAAATCTGTAATCACTCAAACTATTAACAACTTATGCCTTAATGTGGAAAAGACAATCTACCGTATTAAAAAATGCTACTGGCTTAAATACAATTAAATGCTGAGCATTCAAACTAGGCTGACCAAATTTTTAAAAAATTCTTAGTTAAAATGTGGGTTAGATTTTTCATTTCAATGACATTATTGTTAACTTTTGTCAAAAGCTTTCTACAGCCAATTTCCTAGTGGCAATTAGGAATGAACTTGTAGCAACGTGTAAAGGATTTATCACTGAAGATGTTTTCTGAAAACTAGGGAATGCATAAAATTCATACCTTAAGGCACCAAAAGAAACTTTCTCTACTTTAAATGTAGACTGTTTGGCAGTTAACAGCTTAACCCTGAACAGTGCTTTAATCCAACAGTCTACAATAGTACACCAAGTCAAAGTGAGGGAGAGAGGGGTATTTTTAGAATTAGGGACAGAATGAGGCATCAAAAGAAGCATTGTTTTGAACCACAGCTTTTTAGCCATTTAATAAGGAAAACTATTTCCTTAGTCAACAGGAAGCCATTCTTGAGTCCTAGCATGTCCTAGCATTAATCACAAACACACATATGCACTCATGTGCACCTCTTTGAAAATAACACTTTTAACCATGTATGATAGTTACTTTTGTGCATGACTTATTTTTTCTTATTACACTATATTTTACGTTTTTAAGAAATTGGGCACATGATTTTTTTTCAGTATCTTTACAACACATAACACAGCACCTTGCAAATAAAAAGCTCTTAATAAATATTTGCTGGATAAATCAGTGACCAAAGTAAAAACAGTCTAAAGCTTCAAATTCAATACCTATTTATTGAGCACGTATTATGAGACAGGGACTGTGCCCATCACCAGAGAAACAAAGGTGATAAAGATGCCCTTGAAACTCACAGGCAGGTAAATAAATAACACCCACGTCTTGTGATAAATGCTTTGGGAACATAAAGGAGGAAGTAATTAATCAATTAACCTTAAGGGGCAGAACTCATGGCAGGAAGAGTGCCAAGAAAAGACAGAAACAAAATGTGATTCTGGCTGGACTTTGGAGGACAAGGAGTCTGTAGGAGTTGACAAGGAAGGGATGAGCATTCCAGGAAAAATAAACAGCGTGAGCAAAGGCATGGAGATGTGAAGATATTTTAAAATGTGCGAGCTCCTTTATGAGTTAACATTCATCTATAGCATCTTAAAATTACACAAACGCCCATCTGCACATGGCTAGAAGTCTTTCCTATTTATGTAGGTAGCCATATATTAAAAGGAACTAGATTATTATTTTAAATTAATATCTGCAAGCTAACTAGATATTACAGTGAACCAAGTAACAATTATCATTTACTAAAATTTCTAAAACTACAATGCTGCCTAGATAGACAATAGTGGCTTGTAAATAAAATTAAAATCCTTTTATTATCTTACCATTGTGATCTATTTTAGCAGTAATCCTGCTTAATTTTGTTTAAGGTTATTTGAGCACTGTGCGGTCATACTCTTCATAGCACCATCTCCTTTGGACTGAAATGAAGACTAAATTGTGTAAACCATTTCTGTTTGGGAGATTCTTCTTTTGGACAATCCCAACATATAAAATCTCTTCTAATAACTTAGTTCTCTCTCATGTATGTAAATATAATGGATTAAACTCAGGTTTTCATTTTATGTTGTCATTGCTAAGACCTAACCCCCTCTTGAAATATATTTCTCCAAGACCCTCTTCCATGATATGACTTGGGAATCCTCCCTAAGGATCTCTGTAAATAGCCAATCTCACTTATAACCATATTCATATTCTAGGCTCAAAGAAATATAAAGGCAGAAATTTTCTGTTACTTCTCTTCACCATGCCTTACACCTGGTATTGAAGACACACTAAACCAACATTTGTTCACTCATTCATTCAGCAAATATTTACTGAGCACCTAGAGTGTGCCAGGCATTATTCTACATGCTTGGGATATATTAGTAAAAAAGGCAAAAATTGGGCCAGCCCTGGTGGCCTAGTCGTTAAGTTCAGCACGCTCCACTTCAGCGGCCCAGGTTCAGTTCCCAGGTGTGGACCTATACCACGCGTCTGTCAGTGGCCATGCGGTGGCGGCGACTCACATACAAAAAGAGGAAGATTGGCAACAGAAGTTAGCTCAGGGCAAATCTTCCTCAGCAAAAAAAAAAGGCAAAAGCCCCTGCCTTCACAAGGCTTACCTTCTAGTGAGGGAAGGTGGACCATAACCAATAAACATAATAAGTAATCATATAGATTACATAGTATGCCAAAGGTTAAGTGTCATGGAAAATGAAAAATTAGATCAAGGTAAAGGGGATTGGGATTATAATACCTACTCTGCTCTACTAGTTGCTGTGTTCTTAGGTTTAAGTTGACAACCACACTCATGAGGCACTGGAGGCTTCACCCAGCACCAAGTGCACTGCTGAACTTTAAGGAAGGATACAGGACAGGCAACAAGAGAGCAGGCAGAGCACGGGCAGAGCACAGGTCTCCAGACTCCCGGGCAGTCTCTAACGGCCACATATCACTGCACACTTGGGATGGGTGTGGCAATGACAGATGATGTTGGGTGGGCAGGGCCACTTCTTGGGCTTATACCTTGCTAGTTGACTAGCCCATTCAGGGGCATATGATGAGCTTCCATTCATTCTCCATCACAGCTACCTCCCACCAGCACCAGTCTCAACAATCAAGTACATAGAGGTGCTTGTTCTGCTATCTAGCAACCTCAGCAGGATTCTCTCGGATGAAGCATAGAACACTCCCATAAATTGCTTGAGTTCTTGTTGCAAGGAGGATTATAGAGAGGATCAAATCCCTAAGCATCCCTGAGTCTAGAGAAAAGGCCACAGAACCAGCTGTTACTTTTTTTTTTTTTTTGTGAGGAAGATCAGCCCTGAGCTAACATCCATGCTACTCCTCCTCTTTTTGCTGAGGAGGACCAGCTCTGAGCTAACATCTATTGCCAATCCTCCTTCCCCCGCCCCCCGCAAAGCCCCAGTGGATAGTTGTATGTCATAGCTGCACATCCTTCTAGTTGCTGTATGTGGGACACGGCCTCAGCATGGCCGGAGAAGCGGTGCATCGGTGCGCACCCAGGATCCGAACCCCAGGCCGCCAGTAGCGGAGCTCACGCACTTAACCGATAAGCCACGGGGCCGGCCCACTGTTACCTCTTTCTTTCCAGAGACTGCAGTATGCGGGGAAACAGCTTGAAATTTTAAACAGGGTGATATTTGGTGGTGCCTCATTGAGATGGCACTATCTTATCAAAGATTGGATGGAGCTAAGGGAGTGATCCATGCAGGCATCTGTGGGAAGAGTACTGCAGACAGAGAGACAAGCTGGTACAAAGGCCCTAAGGTCTGTTTAAGGAATGTGCTTTATTGAAGGAAGAGTAAACCAGGGGGCAGGAGAAGACGATGATGTCCGAGAGAGAATGGAGAAGCCAAATCATCTTAGGGTCCTGTACCTCGCTATCTGGACTTTTGACTTTTACGGTGAATGAAACAGGATTCATTCCAGGATTCTGAACATAGGAGAGATAGGAACATATTTTGAAATTTAAAAAAAAGATTGTTTGGAAGTTTCTTACAAAACTAAACATACTGTTACCATATAATCCATCAATCACACTCCTTAGTATCTACCCCAAGGAACTGAAAGACTGTGTCCACATAAAAACTGGCATACTGATTTTTATAGCAGCTTATTCATAATCACCCAAACTTGGAAGAACCCAGGATGTCCTTCAGTAGGTGAAAGGATTAATAAACTGTGCTACATCTGGACAATGGAATATTATTCAGCACTAAAAAGAAATGAACCATCAACCCATAAAAAGACATGGAAGAACCCTAAATGCATATTACTGAATGAAAGAAGCCAATCTGAAAAGGCTAAATGCTGTGATTCCAACAATATGACATTCTAGAAAAGGCAAAACTATGGAACAATAAAAAGATCAGTGGTTGCCAGGGGCTGGAGGGGAAGGGATGACTAGGCAGAGCACAGAGGATTTTTAGGGCAGTGAAAATACTTTGTATGATACTATAATGGTGGATATATATCATTACACACTTGTTCAAACTCAGAATGTACAACACTAAGAGTGAACACTAATGTAAACTATGGACTTTGGGTGATAATGATGTGTCAACGTAGGTTCATTGCTTGTAACAAATGTACCACTCTAGTGGGAGAGGTTGATAATAGGAGAGGCTATGCATGTGTTGGGGCAGGGGACATATGGGAAATCACTGTACCTTCCTCTCAATTTTGCCGTGAACCTAAAACTGCTCTAAAGAAATAAAGTCCCTTTAAAAAAAAAAAAAGATCGCTTTGATTGCTGTTGTGAGAACAGACTTTAGGGTAACAATAGGTAGAAACAGAGAGACCAGTTAGGGGCTATTGCTATAATTCAAGCAAGAAAGGGTTGCAGCAATGCGTTGAGCAGAAGTGCTTAGATTCTCTATGTCTCCTGAAGGCTGAGCCAGTAGGGTTTCCTGGCAGTTGGAGTGTGATTTGAGAGAAAGAGTCTAAGACGACTCTAAGCATTCCAGCCTGAGCAACGGGAAGGATGGCATTGCCACCAACTGCTATGGGGAAGGCTGAGGGTAGAGAAGGTTTGGAGGGCAGATCAGGAGTTAGGTTTTGGGTGTGTGAAGTTTGAAATGTCTCTGAGATATCCTAGTGATGACACTAGGTCAGGAGATTTGAATCTGGATTTAGGAGAGAAGTTTGCATTGGCTACATAAATACAATAGCCTTTGATATATAAATAGAATTTTAAGTAAGAGAGTGGAAGAGACCATCAAGGGAGTGAGTACAAATAGAAAAAGGAACAAAGGACTGAGTCCTCCGATGCTCCAACCTTAAGAGCTCTGGCAAAAGACTTAGAACTCACAAAGGAGCCTGAGACTGAGAAGCCAA